CTGACCTTCTTAGTCGCTAGAGGTGAAGCAGATCCTATCCAATCACAACTGAACACTTGGGAATAATAAATACAGCTTAAGTTCACTCATACATATTCACAGTCACACCTGTGAAACGGTGGGAACCTTTGTTGATCACAGATTTGTGTCACTAGAATGTACGTGTTTAGACCCTGGAGAAAAAAGATTTGATTATGATTTTATCAAGATGATGTTGTTATTTGTGATTGTTATTCAAAGTTGACTGAACCAATAATAATGTTGTACATAAAGCAAATTGCATGAGACGCAAATTTAAGACCACAGATTACTCCCATTGAGTACTACTAGCGCTAGTATTAACTTGGCTACTAAATTACGTGACCAAGTTATTGAGTGAGAGTTTTGAAATTAACAGTTTCTAATTTGGTGCTAAGATAAGTTTCAGTTGTTAGATTTGATTTCAACAACTCTTCTGCAAAGTTCGTTTAATAGATTTAAGGGTTTTTTTTTTCTTTCTAAAACTCTCTGGGTTCCATCATTTCCCAATCTTTAACATCTTTTAGCTGACACAGTTCTGCTCTGCTCTGCTGAGTTGTGACTGAGAAGTTTCTGCCACTTTTACTCTACAGGAGTTCTGCTCCGAGCAGAAAACAACCCAGAATATAAGATCTTCTTGGGTACCATCCAAAAACTAGGCGCTCAGAATCCAATGCTTAAAAGAAGGTACAGTCAGATACAGACTGTGACGTTCCGGAAGTTTCAGCTGCAACTTTTCCCAAGACTGTCATGGAAGTTATGGTCTTTCCCAGCTGATACTGCCGGTGGAATTTAACACATGGTAAAAATACTAACAACAAATAAGCTGCCATTCAGAAAAGCTGACGCTGAATAAATAGAAAAGCAGGTCAATGGGTTCGATCCCCCGAATCTTGCGGTTGTAAGGCAACGACTGAGGCCAATGTAAAACACTGAGAGCTGTGGCCAGAGACAAGGGCTGATATTTATTAATCAACTTTACAGTATTGACAGATGGATAATGATGAGAAGGCAGTGCTGTCAGCACTGACAGTACTTCAGAGGCTCGACACTAGCTGTGTACATACACGGCTGAAGAGAGAGCAAGAATAACAGGGTTCCACTCTGGAGTCAACTGAACTCCCAGCTGTCAAGCTGTCAGAGTCGGTGTGACACAAACACATGCACACACTCTCACACACTGTAGCAAAAAACTTTGGTTTCCTCCCAGTGTTGTTCATTAGTGACGCTGCGTGATGTTTCTAAAAAACTCTCACCCATTTTAGATCGATAAAAATGATTCGGCTCCGCATCTGTCCCACGGAGGTCGGATCGAAGCAAAAAAAAAAGTAAATCCCTTTGCATTAGCTGTTATTCCTGTCTTTTTTATAGCTGCGTGTAAATGTTTTATTGCAATTAGTTAAAGTTATGTACAGGAGTTTGAAAAGTGCACCTCAACTTGCGTTACAATATTTTGTTTTGAAAAAAGTTTTTCCAACATCCGACTTCCGTCCCTCTCCTCCCCTCTGGATTACTGTCCTCTCAGCTTTTTTTTGAAATCACACAGCACTCGTATCCATACACTCAGAATTAAGATGCACTTAATATTCTCCTGGCGGCAGAAATGGCACGATAAATCACATTACACCGAGGACGGAGAGTGCAACCTATACACGGTGTAGAAGTCGTTCATTAACAGGCTGCACCTGCTGACACTGCACAGCCAGCAGGGGGCCGTTAGCCATGAGTTGTCACCTGGTGATTATTGCGAGTCTGCCTGGTTTGTCGAAAGAATCTGTTGGGTTAGAACTTTTCTAATAAGAATAAGAAGCAGTAGGAAAAGACACTTTTAACGTAGAGGGTTTGTTGGAGCAGAACGTAGAAGTACAAACTCCCTCTGTTGAAACTAAAGCAAAGTAAAAAAAAGGGAAATACTAGTACTAGGACCGATACTAGTACTGTCGGGCTGATGTTATCGGGCCGATATTAGCATATTACGTAATATCTGTAAGAACTGTTTTTTCCTCCGATAATGAAAACCTGATAGCACAATGCCTGGGTTTCGGCAAATTATGTGTGCCCTAAAAATAATTTTAGGGACAAATGGATGTATATCAACGTGAAAGTCACTAGATGGCAGCATTGCAGCTCATTTAGTTAATCCCCTACTCATACAGTAGTTTGTACAGATAAATAAATAGATATTACCAGGTATTGTTTGATACCGGAAATGTTTGGACAATAGCGGCATATCAGATATTGGCAAAAAGTTAATATCGGACATTCCTAACTAGTACCATTCTGGAAGCCTCCTCAGCACAGAGGTTGACTGATGACTGACAGATTTCATGAAGGTGTCGTTGGAGCCATAACTTGGAGCCATGTCAACAAAGACATTTCAAAACCCACCTCTAGGTGATCCATTCACACAGAGTCAGAAACACACACACACACAAATCATTCTGTGCTGCTGTACCACGGCCGACCTGGACCTCTCCAGAACTCCTCCCCCAGGCCTTGTTCACACACCGGCCTGGTATAAATCAAAATGCCACCACAACAGTGTGGTTTTGTTATGGGTGATGATTAATACGGTGTCAGGAGAAGACGGACCGTGAGGCAGAGCAGCAGCAGTGGCAACACATGAAACATTTCTTCCATTTTAATGAAATTCTTCTCCATTATTTTTTCTACCCCAGACATTTAGACATAATTCTTAATTCACAATTCTTCCCATTCTGCGAAATGGAAGTCATACACATGTAACAAACTCCGCCAAAAAACATTTAGAGTTTAAACCTCCAACGATCACAGCTCATCCACCTGTCGTTCTCCTCATTTCTCCACGGCACCTTATCAGGCGCTGCTTCCTTATTCTGACAGTTCTCCACTTCCTTTATGCCCTGATTAAATATTCATGACGCTCACCAGGCTTCTCCTCTGTGGATCTCTGTGACATTACAGCAGCAGGTAGCAAAACTGCTTGTCATTAATTACCGTAGTCTACCTAATTGCAGACATCACCCAGGGCAGATTTAAACCCCCCACCCCTGACCTGCACTGATCCACACTTTTAAGATGTTGGTTTGCTTCTGTGAAAAGACTAGGAGTGGATAACACAACGAGACCGAGTCCGTGACAATCGAGGCGACTGGTTCTACATCCATAAACATGTGTATGCTGATTCTCCTCGGCCTCTCTTTGTAAATGAATTAAATTCACTCTCCCGAGCTGACAAAAAAACAAAACAAAAAAAAGATTACTGCCACTTACTGGCATGATTACGCTTGGCACTTTAATTGCACCCACTCAGAGGAGGCAGGTGGGCAGAAAGGCGAGAGAGCGGATAATGGGAAATTCACTCAATCATTCCTCCACTTACTATAAAAACCTGAGGCTGTAAACAAGTGGAAGACTTTCCCATAAAGCCCATCAGGACGGAGGAGGTGGAGTGGGTCCGGACCTCCACCAGTGACATCACCAATGCCGTAACATGACGTGATCCTGGTTTTTTCCATGATGTTCTTTCTATTGATTCCAATGTAGCTAAAACATCGACCACAGCGGACATTTTCATTAGTGCGTCCATGTAGACAGGGAGAACAAAGGCCTTCAGATCAGTTCCTGAACCACCGTTTGATGTTCCTGTGTATCACAAACAGCAACACTGAATATGAAAACAGACCAAAAGGCACACAGATATGTGTGAGCCTGGATCTCCAGGGGTTTATTAACAGCTTCTTCATCTGTTGATCATGGTTGGTGTTGCTGACAGCTTTAAGAATGTGCTGTAGGATGTGTGAGCACATGGAACAACACTGAAACAACAGTAAAACACTTGGAATTGTTGGGAGACTCATCATCTCTGCATTTGCATCAGAGCAAACAGACCTGGATGGTTATTTTCCTCCAGTCATAAACATGAAGAGGAGAAGAGATTAGGAGAGGTTTTATTTCCTGGGACAAGAGGACCAGAGGTGGACTGGATATAATAATAATCTCTGCTTTTCTGCTTCTCCACATTTAATTGTTTCCCTTTCATTTTCCTCTCATATCTTCTCGCGTTATTTTTGTCTCTGGTGTAAATTGTTTTTCATGCTTTGTTTTCAAACCAGCGCTCAGGTAATTGGGGCACAATCTCCTTTCAAAGTAGCAGGAAATGTTTGAGGTTGTTTGTGCTCATACACAAAGCTATTATTGGCAACTTCTGGGCTGCGGGATTTAAAGGGATTAAAAATAAGAATACAAATTTGCCCACAGCCAAAACCTTAAAAAAACACACTCCAACTAGACACGCTTTTTTTTTTCTTTTGGAATGAACCAAAAAAACAATGTATTTAGTCAGCTTTAGAAAGGCTTATAAGACACGCTGTTAACGGCAATTGGTGGAATATTGTTAAGGGATCAGGACCAAGGACAGCTCCCACCACACTAAATACTGTAGTTCTGAACACAGCACAGTAATCATGGTGTTTATTAATTTATTATAAATGTATATTTAATAATAATAATTGAAGTGAATATATGAATATATATGTATATGTACTGTTTTATGTGAAATTAGATTTAAATATAATGTTGGCTTCACAGCTTAATGTCAACGTTTGTTGGAGGTGTACAGCCCCACAGGACAGCAAGAACTCAGCAGTATAACATACTGCCCAACCAAACAAATGTATTGTCATTTCTTCAGTGTGGAGTTGTGACTCCATGCCCCGCGGAGACAGACACGTCTGTTCAGAGCTGACTGCCTCTGTTGTCATTCCTTCACAGAGTTCAGGTTTCATTCTGATTTCATGACATGGCTTGTCTTCCACTGATATCTCATAAACATAACAACCCACACCTTGGGGCTGAAACAAGTCAAAGTGGAGAGAGTGAGGTGATCAAATGTGTTAGAGACGGACAGAGAAAAGGAAATAAAATGTCGTCAGGATGTTAGAATGACACTCTCCTCGTTTGTGCTCAGTTCCTGCAATTAACAGTTAAACCTGTGAGATGGAGGAGGATATCACCTCAGGGTCAGGTCAGAAGGGAGAGGCATGAGGGAGATGAGGGGGAGGCAGGAGCCTGATACACTTTCATCAGGTTGATGGTTGACATTTCCATTCTGCCTATGACCTCCTGACTGCAGCAACATGCTGACGGTGGAGATTTCACAGGCCACACAATCAAACACAGAGAGCGGCCCTGCTCGCTGCTCCACTTCAGCCACATGTCTACTGATTAACACCTGGATTACCATGGCAACAGATGACCTGGATGTGCTTTATCTACAACGCTACCTGTTTTTTAAAGTCTGATTTTTATGGTCAGAATTCTACAAGACAAAATAACTCCTGGCCCCCGGGGGCCACTGGCCAATGTCAATAATAATTACATTTTGTCCATTAGGGATTTTTAAAAAAATCTATAACATGGTTTGGTTGACTCTTAAATTAGCATTTTTCATACTCTTTTCATACAGACGTCCCACTTGTTTCCCTCTATTTTTTTTATTGAAAATCCAATAATAAAGGTGATGACTTATATAACTGCTGGTATTTTCAGTTCCAGTTAAGCTAAAGTTCAAATAAGGTGGTGAGTTAAAAAACAAAAATAAATGGAGGAAGAAAAAGAAAATGAAAGAAACACTGCAGCAGAGCTACAGAGAATGAACCGGAGCAAATCGTTTTTCTCTACCAGTAAATAAATCAAGTCCAAAACTGTTGTTTCTAAAAATAGCACTTACACTGTCTCTCTCTTTTCTCCGTATCCTGCACGGAAAGACTTGCCTTTAATTCGACACAGCCTTTGAACTTCTTCTTCTTCACTGTTCCTTTATCATCAGTCGGGTTGAAAAACATATATTTCCACAGCATATAACTTCTGCCTTTAAGTAAATTCACATTAATTTTTTTTGCCTGACTAATGACAAATGCATCATGCCTGTGCCTCACACTGCAACTTAGAGTTTGAGGATTCTGTGAAGCTAAACTAAGCCTGGAGCTGTACAACTTTGTACTTCACCCACTCCATTAATAGTAAATGCTCAGTTTGCTGCTTTGTTAAACTGGGCTAAGAATGTGCACTGGGACCAAGGACTGTTGTAAGAAGGGTTACAGAAATAACACAAACCAACAGCTCCTCCACCCACACGACCATCCCACCCACATGACCGTCCCACCCACACGACCGTCCCACCCACACGACCATCCCACCCACATGACCATCCCACTCAAACACAGTACAAGAGAATAACTGTGTGTTTTACCAAACACCAGCAGTGTTTCTCTTGGGATCAGGTGACCTGCAGTAATCACAGTGCACTGTGAGGATAATAACACATTATATTTATTGTAATAATCAATAGTAACTGATACATTTGTCTAACAGAAGATGCGTTTATTCAGCCCAGTAGAACAGGTCTGTGTGTTTGTTACATAATGGATCAGAAAGGTAAAAATAAAGTGACTGTAAAAAGCTTGTATTTAGCCTCGTACTGTCCCAGAATGTTCCAGAGCCAGACTCCAAACCAATGATAGAAAGACACAGTACTGCACACAGACACTGCAGCTTTGGTCTTAAAATGTTTGAGCATATAATCCCTGGGCTGCTTGAGGTTGACGTGTGGCTACAGTATGACAGGTAGCCAAAGTACAATCTTAGATCTTTATGTCAGGTCTGTCTGTTCCCTGTTCCTCCAGAAAATGGTGGTTTAACAAGATGCGACATCACGGCCAGTTGCCTCTTGGAACAATTTTTTTAAGTGCGATTTTCATTAGAAAAGATGGACAATGTATCTCCCCTGGCTGTCTATCTGGGAAATGACAGACACTTCTATCACCCAGGGAAACGAAAAACTGGAGTATGTCAACCTAATTTAAGAAATCAATATCCTGTCTTGAAAGCTTCCGAACGCTGGTCAGAGCCATGGGCAATTTAAAGACATGGTCTTCAAAGCTGTACTAGTACCACTACTGTAGGTTTCATGTTTTGTTATATATTTCTTTGGTATATGTATATAAACCTACCCTGAAGTCGATGCCCACAGTGGAGATGAAGCTGCCAGCCAGGAACGCTGCGTCCTTGAAGCGGACCAGTAAGCAGGTTTTTCCTACACCAGAGTCTCCGACCAGCATCACCTGTTCAGAATGAAAATTCACCAATCAAACATTCAGATTCATTCGGTTGCTTTATGACAGTGAACTCAGTAAAACAATGTACAAAACACAAATGATGTCATATCATTGAACTTTGGTCATTTGTAGTTTTTTTTTACAATGTTATTCTGATATGATCACTGTTGCCCCCCGGGTGTTGAGACAAGTAGAAAAACAGAGAACGTAAAAACAAAATGTTGTGTAGTGAGAGATAAAAACACGGCAGCAGAATTTCACCCTCTGCTGCTGCTGCTGCTGCTGCTGCTCTCTCCTCAAATGACTATATTTTATTATTCCTGCATCAGTTTTCAACCAGAATTGTTTTTCGTTTTTATCGTAGCGTTTGTGGCAGCTCTTTAGTTTTCCTCTGCCCTTCAGCTGTCTTAAAAAACAGACAAAGAAAAAACACCAACTGCCTCAGTGAGAGGGAGAAACATGAGGAAATCTGTCAGAATTGTCTGTGATGAAAGGACACAGAGGGTGAAGGTCTGGTTTGAGCAGCTTAAGCAACTTACTACAATAAGACTAGTCCTTAAAAAATACAGACAATCTGCTCCTCCCCTCTGAGTCCCTCCACTCAGCGCTGCTTTAAGATTGCCCCCAATCCAGTAAATCTCTTCAGCTGGGCAGACTCTACTGTAGCCCATTGATATCCTTCATACTCACTGCTGCCACTGTGTGCATACAGTAGAGCAGAGGAAGTGCGACTGTGTTTGAAGAGTGTAATGTCTCCCACAGCAAACAATGGTCAGCTGCTTGTTTCCATAAATAGCGACAATTCTCACAGTTTTAGAACCAGGATGTGAGACGACTGACTCTCACTTCTGTCCAAAGTCTGCCATCAGTTCTGGTATTTGGGATTTTAGACATTTTGAAAGAATTCCATTCATGAATTTACGAGCTAATCGTGAATTTGGACATTCATACAAAAAGAAAATATTCATTTAATCTCCTGATTTTAAAGCAATTGTAAAAACATTCCGTTTCTAATGTTGGACCAGCCTTTGAGCGACACCTCATTGAAGAAAAGCAGTGTAAAGTTTCCTGGCAACCTGGCAACCCGCGGCTCTGCTGAAGTTGCTGACACAGCCATGTTTCCTCAACCAGTTGCACAGCGAATGATTTGTTTGCAGGCAGGCAGCTGCAGGGGGCGATGGTCGCTCCTCTCCCGGTTATCGATCGATTATTGACACAGCTGTTGTCAGCCTGCTCTCTTTAAATGAATGGTCGTGGAAAAAAAATCACGGCAAAAAAACAACAACAAAAAAAATACAGCTTCTGGTGGAAGATTTTGATATAAAGTGTTTGCAGTATTTTCCATGTGTTTATATGTGGACTGAGTCCAAAGAGAAAAAAAAAACAAGAGAAAATCCGTGTTTTCCTCTTGAATGAATTATTTATGCATACCATGGTCAGTTCCCCTCCACAGTATTTAGTCGATTAAAATGACTTATTAAGCATCTGCTTTGCAGCTGATCTTTGTTATTAACAGCATCTTACCTTGAAGGCGATGTCGTAAAACTCGTTGCTGCTGCTGATGGAGGGTCTGCTGGGGTGGACCACACCGTTCATCTGAACAATACCCGGGCTGCCCCTCGCTGGTTTCCCGGTTCCTTTACCCATAAGACCGGCAGTGGACGGGCTGCTGCAGGTGCTTTTACCTTTGGACGCCTTTTTGCGTGACATATCTCGTGATTCTGAAAGTATTTCTGGTAAATCAAAAACTAAAAGAAGGAGTTGCAGAAACGAGGAAATGAACTAGAACCTCTGCGTTAAACACATGCTCTGAGCGTTTTCATTTAAGTTAAAATCATCTAAAAATGATCCAGAACTGTTAAAAACACTCTGCTCTCCGCGGTGGTCCAGTTACTTCCTGCTCCGGTCAAGTTGTTCTCCTGAGGGCAGCAGCCGCGGTACTGAGCTCTGGAGCGGCAGCGGTTCGGTCTCAGGAGGCAGGAACTATAGCGCAACAGTGACAGCCCCGAGCGGAACTGTTACTGACACCGAGAGGAGAGAACAGAACCAGCCCAGAACCAACCAGGTTGACATTAGTCTGACACAGCAGTGAAGGAGACTGTTGTGTTTGAGCGTCACTGCTGACAATGAAGACAGTGGAGAGGGCAGGTGGCGCTCTCCGTGGTGCTGAAATATTACTGCATCTCCACAGTTTCACAGTTTTCACATAGAAAACCCATAGAACTCAACCTACTCCAGAACATTCTCTCTTTATATGATTATTACATCAAATTAATGTTGTCTCTACTATCTACATGTACATTAGACCAGAGTTGCCTACTGTATTAGCAGCTGGGATTGACTCCAGCGCCTCCTTGCGTCCTGCACAATGAATATAATAATGGTATCTAATGAATGGGTGGATGAATGATGGATGTCAAACTCATTTCCTTCCTGGGCCACACACTGTCCATTTTCAAATGAAATAATGCTATACCAACGTAACGAACCATTAGCTTTGTCAACTCAATGTCTGTTTGTTCTCTGGGTTCGTCAAAGTAGTACAGTGTAATACTGTAGTATTTAGTACTAATGTTATGTTTTTCTTAGAAAAAAATAACCTTCAATCCAAAAATGACAAATAATCATGTCACGTGTATCTGAAAATAAAAAATCAATACATTATTTTGATATTCATATCAATTAGAAGCTTATTAAAAAGACCTGTTGAATGCATTGACATGTGATTCCAAATTTTGACCACAAGAGGGCGAAATGGAAACATAAGATAACAGGTCCCAGACGTACTTGGGGATACTGTATTGTGTAAGACTGTGGGTGAAACAACATAGCAGATCATGCTGGTTTTAATATACATTACGGAAGGGACGGTTATAAAGTTCAACAGTTGTGTTAATATATCTTTATTTATTACCTTACTTAGACTATACTTACACTATAGATGATACTGGTTTTTTAAATCCCAGGAAATGAAACAGCAGCTGCCGTGCCATAACTGGAGTTCTACAGATACAGCAGGTCTCCAACATCTTTCATGTGTATAAACCGGGGGGTTCGCCTGCCTGCATTTCTGCTTTTGTCATGACAAATCAGTCAAGGTTACTGGCCTTTCTGTGACTCTCACCCACGCCAGCTGTAATTCACAACAGAATCCAACGATCTCCATATAATGTGGAAAACATCACTTTAAAGCACAGATCGCATATTGTCCACATTTGGAAAGAGGAACAGCAGCGTATTCTGATTAGATCCTGATCTTTTGTAGCGAGTGATGAGATGTTGTTGTAATCTACTTTGTTATGCAATATAACATTTTTGCATCATATCACAGCCCTGTGTTCCAGTGCCAGGCTGTCTGTGCTTATTAGAATAAGCTTTAAGATCATAGTCCAGAGACCTCATCTGATCCCTTCAACAGACGGCTGCAATGAGCTTGTCTTACGTTTGACCTTTACAGTGTGTGACGCGAACACTACCATCAGGCCCAACTGTCACAGGGGGTGAGTTTTGATATATGGGACGGGAAATAAATCCAGAAAGAATCAACAGGGCAATAAACAACTCGTCGGTCGTTCATACATGAGATTATTCTGCAGTCACATGTTTCCCTAATCCTGCACTTGGCAGAGGCCTACAACATTGTCTTTCAGTTTATCTCTATGTGGTAAATATTCATCGTTGTGAGTGTTTGAAGTTCAAATTCAATTTAGCCTAATTTAATATTAATATACTAGTAAAGTACTTGCATATTTTTGGTTTCCCAAAGGCCGGCTTTCCACCGAGCTGTATAGATTTCTTGATGACATCTCATGGCTGACCTGGGATCAGCGGCACTGAACAGTTGTAAACACACCGACAGCTGGAGCCTCTGGTTTCTGTCCTTAAATCTGCAGCCTGTCAGCATTTTTCCACCCTGCGTCCCGGTCAGAGAGCAGGGCAGGGGTGGAAGGCAGAGTGTCATTGGTCCGACGGAACACAAACCCCCAAAATCTGTCCACCCTCCTGTACAACTCCGCTCGACAGCTGAGATTCGTTCTGCCCCTGAAGCAGCTGTCTACTGTGGCAACAGCTGGACATTTTGGAGGGAATAGGGGGACGTGGTTAGAAGAGGGCCGTTGGAATTTGTCCCTGCTTTTTGATAAATCATCAGCTTTGACAGGATGAGTTCAACCCGCCCAGAGTGGGTACATCGTAGGGTTAAAGTATATATTCTAGTTCCTTATGGTTGTGGTGATGTGAATTTATTAGCACTGTCAGAATTAAAACGTCACATCAGTCAGATCAAAATGACTAAGGGTGGAATGACAAGCTCTCCATATACAATCATTCCAATGTCCACACACTTAATATATCTCTAACATCCAGTACATACACATGTTGTTATTTGCACACAAACAATGTGTTTGCTTCACCTAAACAGGCTCAAGCTCAAAATATCAACTCAACGACCAGCATGTGGCCAGGCTTTGGTCACGTCAGCCTGGGTGAGTGCTAAATTAGTCTACGGTTGAAAAGCTAACTGACTAAATTTCCAAATCGGTTGCAAAGGAATTCCATCATTTTGAGTGAGTTATCATTAGAAACTGGTGTAAAACACAAACATCTGAGTGCTCTTAGGGTTTTTCTGTTCCAAAGATCTTTTGTCATATTCAAGAATATCGATTAATCACAATTTATCATGATTAATCATGATTAATTGTGATTAGTCTGCAGGCAACCTGTGATTAAAATGTTCACTTGACACCTGTAGTGTTGAAACAAAACACATGCTTCTGTAAATATCCTGAACCAACACCAAACGTCTTGAAACTCCCACCAATTAACAACGAGTGATGTCACTTTTAAGGTTGTTCCATTTCTGAGACAATAGGACGAACGTCTTAAAAGGAGCACCGACATGGTGCTGGTGTGTCCAGGGCAGTAAGGTCACAACATCCTCGGGGTCACACGAGCCCGCGCCAAAGCCAGGCATTTGTCAGTTTACCCATGGTCAGGTGCCCTGAATGTGGACTGCGTGGCGTGCAGCAGCCTGGCCAGTCGCTCGCTGAAATTCATGGCAACTGTTGATCTGTTGGCTGCCCTTCCCTTCAGCTGCCCGTGGCCTGAATGCTATGAGGACGAGGCAATATGCCAGCAGACACCAGTGTTTATCAGTCAGTGTCCAGAGCAGCCATCAGTGTACGGACACCGGCTGGTACTTATTCACTGGCCGAGCGACACAGAGGAGGAAGGAGGGAGAGAGGCGGAGATGGAGAAACATATGAATGTAATAATTGTTGTTTTCATGACCCTAGAAAGGGCTTTTAAAAATGCTAATAAGAAAAAAACTCCCATCTGTCATATGGTGATTTACCACAGCTTATCTATCAGGGAATATGACAAAGGAAAGGTTGTTTATGTAATGCTTTTTTTTTTTTTTTTTTAGAAAAGTAAGTACGAATAACAAAAGAACTCAGATAGAAACGAAAAATTATTTTACAGCTAAACAGCTGAACTGACAGTTGTAATGACAACTATCTGAGAAATAATGGGAAGCAATATATTATGCGGAAAATAATATAATGCACATAAAATTAAAACTTTTTTCTTCAAAGCAGGTGGTTGAGGAGTTGGTGTGAATCGCTCTCTCTTCCATCTACCCCTCAGTTTTTTTTCCTGTTGAACCAAGTGACTTTGGACAGATGCTGCCAACTCTGAGCCAACGCTGAGTTTCTTTCTTCTCCCCCCCCCCAAAAAAAAATATATTTGTTTCCTGTTCCCTAATGAAGCATCAGGAGAATTTTACACTTGACAAATGTCAATAAAAATGTAACGGCTAAACTGTACAGACATGATGTGGGATAATAACATCGTTTTATGGCCGCAGCTGCTGAAAACGCAGCACATTTTATGGAGTGTGACTGGTAACTGACCACGATTGCTTCTGAGTCGCACCCAAGACAAAATGTGAAGCATAATTTTCACAAATAGTTCGAATTTTCCATAGAGGAGTTTGAAAAGTAGGAAAGTAAAGAGAGAAAGGAGCCATTGACCAAACAGTAAAAAATGCTTTGGCGTTTTTTATTTTGCTCAGAGATTTTTTCAGGAATCTTCACGTCAGTATTACATTATCGTCACTGCTGCGTCCCTGTGTCACACTGACACTTTTCACTCTCTGTTGACAACATTTTAAATCACAGCTTTTTTTTCTACCCCCATTTTCTATAATTTTACCATAACCATGCAAGACTTCTACATTACGAAGACTCAACGGTGCCCGAGCACAGTTTAATCTGAGGATCTGAAAATAATCCTTGCCCAACGCTGCCAGGATCCTGTAGCAGATCCAGGCAAAAGAGTCTGAGCCAGAGAACCAGGACGGAAAAACTCAGGAGTAATCGTTACCAGGCTCATGTTTTCCTCAATGTCTGCTCTTATTTAATTGAAAAAATATTTCCATTTCATTTCAATTCAATCTGAAGCTCTCTCTTTTATTTTACTTTTTAACCAATTAATTTAAAGTGCAGAATACTTTTTTTCGATGCTAGGACATTTTTCTCACTTGCGTTTGCTGCACTCACCACTGATTTGTGCGTTGGCCAAGGCCTAGCCATAAATCCTGGCTAATCCATGGTGCTTCCTGTGAGTGTCAGTGTCACTGCTGTCTGTTGCTGCTGCGATCTAATTTATGGCCTCGCACATGGTGCTGCTGTCAAACAGGAAGCAGTCGGTGTTGCGTGTATCTACGCCAGAACATGCAGGCTAAGCAGAAAAAGTGATTTCACACTTCGATCAGGAAAAATTCAGAGGCCCTGTCACTAAATCACACGGAGTTGGACAGTGGGCGCAAAGAGCGAGGCGAGTGTGAGGCGGAGGAAAAGCAGAGACTCGCTACAGGGCCTGGCTAAATTGCTGGGTGCCATTTTAAACTCCTCACTGATCCTCGATGCACAACAGATCGACTGTTTTCGGAGGCTGTAACTTTTCACAGCGGAGGCCGGAGTAAATGATAAGTCAGGCTCCTCTTTCCTCAGGATGTGGGACCAGAGGTGGTCGATGTGCGTATGAGACGCAGCTGGAACCGCTGCAGTCGAGGATGATGACACACACACACACACACACACAAACTGGGATGTAAACACACAAAACACAACACAAGCTGCAGCATGAGAGTGGGCACACAGGCACCAACTGGAGGGAGCCATGGTGAGCGGGAAAAGGTGAGAGCAGAAAAAGTGGTGTGTGTGGGTGAGTGTGAATGTGCAAGAGTTTGTGTGTGTGTGTGTGCGCGTGTGTATTTGTAGAGCGTTTGCAGTTGTGACAGCTGGGATGAAGGAGTGGAGGCGGCGTGTGTGATCGGAGGAGGTGCCAACAGTGCAAGTGTCTCTTTATTTTCATCACACACATGTTATTTTCATCACACAAGTGTGTGTGTGTGTGTGTGTGTGTGTGTATTACCAATGTACATTTGTGTTTGTTTCCTTCCCATCGACAGCCCGTCACATACATTTGTTACTATATGACTGGGCTGTCTGTGACCGTCATATGTTTTACTGCATTAGTTAAGGCAAATTAAAAAGTC